AAGATGTTTGCCTCTCAAGAAATCGTGATGAATTTGGGACAAGGGGTAGACTGTTTTTGGGGGGTTTTTTTTTGTTGTTTTTTTGTTGGGTTTTTTTGTTGTTGTTGTTTTTAAAAAAGAAAGCATACCAAAGGGAGAAGAAAAGAAGATCTGTCAAACTGAGAACACTTACATTCAATTGGGAATCCTTGAGCTGGGAGCTACTCTAAAGTGTAGGTCATTATAAACAAAATAAGGAAAGGAGAATAATAAACTAAGAGTACAGTCAGTTTAATCAATTTTGTTCACTTCATGCTGTTATTTATTGTATTTATGTTCCACGGACAACCGCTTAAAAATAACAGGTGAAAATATGCTCATGTTTGTTCATGTTTTTAATGTGTTTGGTATATAGATTATTTGTTCTTCAGTTTTCGTTGATGTGAATATCCATTACCTAATTTCAAAGTATATCTGATGTATTCTTTCTGTATCACCATGTTAACATGCTGTAGGTACAAGTTGAAGAAGAAAACTCTGGTAAGCTGACAGCATGTTTAAAATGATTTGTATATACAAGTGCTAAAGTTATGTTTGGTATGTTAATGCAATCTCACTTTTTAGTAAAGGCCAAACAGTGTTAAGTGGTTATCTGCATTGATTTTTCTGTCTTCCATCTTTATTCCTTTTGTGTACCTGGAAATAGGACCATCTATTAATAGCCTCTTCCTGGGTGAGCCTCCAGAACTCTATTCTCAGTTGGTCCACTTTTTGAACTCTCCAGCAGTGTTCCCCTATGAGGTGCTCATTTTTTGGAGTTTATCTGCATTTTTCCCTCCTGGTGTTCTTAAGCCTTCTGCTACATCACCACTGAAACAGGTCAGCACCTGCTGAGAGTTGAACTGGTGCTCACCTTGAACATGCTTGTTCTGCTGAGTCATGTTAGCTAATTTTTCTTTAAAAAAAAAGGCTTGTCTTGTGGGAAGTGTTCTTACTGTCTGTCTTTTCTTTCCTGTCTGAATCTCTTTTTCTCCTTTTGATACATCAGCTGTTTGCTTTTCATTTTATATTTAATTGCTCATGAAATATCCTGTGTTGGGTACAAGAGTATTTCTTTGGAAAGACTGGGTGCATTTAGAAGAGTGAAACTAGTTTTAATATGAAAATATGGCTAAAGAGAAGATTGAGTGCCTCTTGTTGGGAATAGAATATGTTCTAGTGGAATCTATATGTATGGGCATTGATGATTGCCCAAGGAACATTTGAAGTAGGCCTAAAGAAATTTGTTGTCTGGCTTGAGTGAATCTAGCTGAGGTGGGAAACTTGTAGAGGGAAAGTGTATTTTTAAAGAGGGGAACAAATGGTAGGATTTGAAAGAAGAGGGGCTGGTTTTTTTCTTTTTTTTTTCTTTTTTTTTCTTTTTTTTTTCTTTTTTTCTTTTTTTTTTCTTTTTTTTCTTTTTTTCGTTTTTTGTTTTTCCTCCATCAGCATTGCCTCCAAATAAACACAGTGGTCTATGTGATGAAGCTGATCCTTGGTGAATTGTGTCAAGCCTTATAAAATGACATGCTACCGTTTCCAAGGCTTTAAAATCCTTTTCTTGGCAAAGTCTTCAGTGCTCTGATCAAGGCACGTTCTCCTTGACATCTGTCTACGTTGCTGTCATATTCTTTGAAGTATCCACAGTGTCTGAGATATAAAAGATGTTTTCTCAGTTATGGTCCTGTCTTTGTAAGTGTACAATTGCACTTAAGATCAGAATGTTAAGCAACCTGTGCTGCACAAAGTATTTTATCTCTGTCTTTAAGAGGATTCAAATTTGTTATAATTAAAATAAAACACTTGCCTTAGAATTCAGCTTTCTCAAAAGGATACAACTGACATTTCCTTTTTGCCAGTACTGAACCAGACAATGTCTTCTCCTCACTGTGCTCCAAAAAGTATTTTTATATATGTTTTTAGAAGGAAATCCAGTTCCTTACTTGCAGCTGTTGACATTTTAGAGCCTTGGATTGAACCAATAAAAACACATGTTCTTTCAAAGAACACCTATTTTTACTGGACCTTGCTAATGACCAATGACACAGAATTCAAAAAATGTTGGCTGAAATGAAGAGAAAGGCTGTATTGTTTTAAATTATATTTTTAAAACTTTTCCTTATAGCAAAACTACACAGATATTTCATATGCTCTTGATCTTGTGAAAAATTACTTGTTTTTGGAATTCAGTTTTTAATGGTTGAAAAATAGTTCAGGCGTAAATGTGTTGCAGCTTATAAAATGTTAGTAAAACATACAAAATATTGTCATTTAAGATTATTATAATATTTTCCCGTGCAGAGCATTTAAAGATCTTACTTCCTAAACATTTCCTGTGCAGCTAAGAATACATTTGGATTCGTAATGCATTTGAAACATCTTCTGTAAATACATTGTTTCAAACATATTAAGACACTTATGTGCAAAGGTCAAATTAGATCATCACTTCTTTCAATGGTATTCTCAAAATGGATTCAAGCTATATGCAGATTTAATATGCCTTTTTTTTTTTTTTAACATTAACATTCTTACTGAAAATTAAGTGAAACGTGAATGATGATATGCCACCAAGGCTGATGTTCTAAGGCTGAGTTGATAGAGATGTACATGCCTTTTACATTACTTGTGTTGCATCTTTATCCTGTGTGTGTGTTGGATCTGCCGTGTGGCTCAAGGATCCCCCTGTTTGTTTCAGTATTTTGACTTCACAAGAGGAGAACAGAGAGCAGGATAACATGGCACCCATGCTCTTAATTGTGCAACCAGCTCTGTACATCAAGAAAATTTACTGTTTTCTCCTGGAGCTACACTGTTATTCTTAGCATATTTTCACTTTTTTTTTCTTTTTTTTTTTTTTTTCTTTTTTTTCTTTTTTTTTTTTTTTGGTAGTCAAGAGAACAGCATTAATAAAAATTCTTGTTTTAAAGGTAGGTTGAGATTTTTGCCTTCTACATATTTCCTGTAAGAAATCCGCGCTGCTCCTGATTCAAACGGGGAATTGCAGAGCAATGTTTTAAAAGGTGTCTGCAAAACAGAAAAGCAAGATGCCTACTGATATTACATGGCAACAGAAGCACCATGAATAATACCTAAAGTAGTAGTAGTTTTTTAAGATAATGTTTAGATCCTGTATGGTGCAGAAAACAAACAAGAAATCCAGAGAAAAAATAGCATACTGTGGGTTTCCTTTTTAGTATTTTTCTGAGCTCCTGTTTCTCAAATGCTGAGACACATAATTTTTATTACTGACAGAAGAATTCCAAGTGTGATTTATGACTTTTATGTGAGATAGACATTAAATGTCTAAAGTTTCGAAATACATTTGCAGTCAAATTTATTTTAGCATTTTTTTCTGCATTTTCCTATATTATTAGAAAGTGGTTTTTTCTCATTTTATTGGTATAAAATTGAAACTGTGCTTTAAGAAACTTTGACTCTCACTGACAGTATGCATTACTCCTGGGAGACATGCTAATGCCACAACTGATATAAAATAAGATATTTTAATATTACCGTTGGACACCTACAATTATTTAAAATTTATTTTTATATAGGATCAGATTATTTTGTTTTATATTCTAAAATGTACTATCTTGACTTGCAGTACATTATTCAGAAGAGAAAATGATGTCTTTTGTGTTTGGGAATATGTTGATGTGTTTTATTTAAAATTTCTGTCTCAAACTCCTTTGCATCTCTATTTTACTTAGGCTTCGGCTGTAGTTTATATATATAGTTCAGTTATACTACAGCTCTCTATTTCACACTTTTTCTCTGTTTAGAGTTGACTCCAGTAAGGACTGCATTGGAATAAATTCTATGCATTTGATAGGAAGCTCTTTTCTGTGCCTTCCAAAGCCAGCAAGGTAGCAAAAGAGACTGAAATATTCAAGCCTTTTATTTGAGACAACAGTGCTTATGTGAGCATTAAATCACAATTCTCATTTCTTTCTTACTAGTGTTTTCAGAAGGTGTTTATTAAAATCTTCTTTCTCAGTGAATTGTCTAATGTCCCAACAGGATCTACCAGCTTAGTTTTTTTAGTGATGATATCTGAACTACTTCTTTGTAATATGCTGTTCAAAAATGTTCTTGTTAATGTTGTAATTTTGCCTAGATCTGTCCAACAATTGTTCCCCTATGTCTTCCTGGTCCTTGATCTGTTTTTTTTTTTTCTTTTTTCTTTTTTTTTTAAGGATTATTTTTCATAAAACAGTGCATTGTTTGCTGGCAACTAATTGCTCTTTTTAACCAAAGTTAAAAAGAGGCAAGGCTTCTTATGGCTACTGTAAAAAATGGTCAAATACAATTTAGCTCACTACACAATTTGCAGATCTTTAATCTTTAGAATAGGTGTTCATGTTACAGCAGTAAGTACATGTATGTATGCACACAGCAGCAAATGTTAAATTTTTCATTCTCTGTCATTAAATTAATATTTAAGCATAATACTCTTAAAACTTATTTTCTTCCAAGCTGTGGTATGTGCTCGGGAATTAGAGTAATCTCAACATAAAAGAAAAAAAAAAAGAATAAAAGCTACACATATATTTTCTTTTAAAAGGCTGATTGAGTTGGAGGATGTTTAATTTGCTCATTTTCCTAAAAGCTTATGTTGCTTCCTTTATACATACTTAATACGACAAAATTTGGCATTATATGGTATAGGTATAGGTATGAGCAGAATTTCATCTCAGTATCTTTGTAATTTTTAAGACTTCTTAAAATGTTCTGCAAAAATTCTTTATCTGATAATAAACTTAGCTTTGTTTTGGCATACAGTTGGACCAGGAGGAAGCTAAATAATGCTGCACATTTTAAAAACAGCTCTAGTACTATTTAGGAATTGCAACATGCTTTTGTCTGATGCTTTCTCTACTTGCAGAAATGGTGATGGGGTTATTTACGTTAATTCATTTGGCTTGTTGAAAAGAAAATATGCTCACACTCCTCTACTTAATGGGATTCTTTCCTCGTTGCAGTGCAAACGGTTAGAGCAGGAGCTTCATCATCTGAAAGAGCAGAACCAGACTTCAGCAAACAACACGAGACATCTGACTGCTGAAAACAATCAAGAACGTGCTCTGAAGGTAAATCTCCATTTCTTCTTGCAGGCAAATTAAGGTTGTAAGCCCCTGGTGCCAGCTTTCTGGGCTGCATATATCAGTTGTGTACATTTCAGCAGAAGTGAGCTATGGTGTTTGCCAACAACCCCTTCTTTAAACACAGATACAGCACCCTTCTGTTATGGTTTTATTTTATTTTGTGTATGAAAACAACAAGAAAAAAATAACATCCAGTCCGAATTATTGGGCTGGAAATTTATACTGAATTCTTGGAGACTGTCCTTGGATTACATTTTATAACGTGAAGAAAACTGCAGCTATTTGCTTCACAGTACCTTTGCAAAACTAATATTTTAAAGTATGGCTGTTTGATCTGCTCCTAGCAGTGTGTGCTATATTAATAACATTGTTGACCTATACTACTAGTGACCACACAGTTGATACTACTATTTGCAAAAGGGTAGCTAGTTGGAATTGGGAAGAGGAATAATAAGTCTTGTCAATAAGAATAAAAATGAGCAGAGAGGCAGGAGAGGGTCAGAGAAAGGACAGTATAAAGTGACAGGTTATTGCTGCATTGAGAAAGGGAAATTGTAACGTCAGTGAAATTGATAGCTACATAACCAGCCGTCTCACCACTAGGCAGAATAAGAGCAAAAGCCAGGTAAGATGCGCAAGTGTTCATGCACGCCTGTTTAGCTGCTGTATTCATAAAAATCTCTTTGACTGGTTATGGAAAGAGTGTAAAGGCAGAAGTTGCTCTGTTGAAACTGTGTTGTCATTTTAAAACCGCTTGATGTAGGTAGTAAGATCCAAGTGTATCATTTGTAGGCAGATGTTCCTCTGTATGTGTGCGTTAGGAAAGTGTCATTATTCATGCTACATCTTGACCAATGCAAAGTAAAGGAATTGAGGCAAATCCTTGTGTAGTTTGATGTTTCTCAGTTTAAAAAAAAAAAAAAAAAAGTGTAATCAGTGAACAGAAAGAGGCTGTATGGCATATAAACCAAGTGTGTTTTATGGGCTTATAATTTCCATCAGAACCTATGGTGATTTTTACAAAATCAAGTCAGCAATATTGAAAGCAATCTAACCTCAGATGTCTGGTAATAGAGACTGTAAACACTCAGGGCTGTTTCTGACTATGCTAATGGTATTGTTTTGAATCTGAGATCACTGAAAGTTACTGCTTGTCAGGCACATTGTTTGTAATAAGTAGTATTGTCTTTCATTAATTGCATACTGACTTGTTTTTTCTGTCATTGAAACCGTTATGCACAGGCACTTTCCTTTAGAAAACATCAATGTTTTATAAAGAGTACGTTTTTTACATACAATATTGTCTGACATAATGCTCCCAGGATAATTATATTTTCAGAGCAAGAAGTGACTTAATAGTTCAGAGTGTTACTAGGATTTCATCCTAAGCCTGACATTGCTCTCACAGCACATAATCTTTAAAGAATTTAATTTCTGTCTGTCACAGGCATTTTTTGATATTTTCAGAGTTAGAGGTTAATTGGTCATTGTCTTTTAGAGATGAGAGTCTGGGGAGGAAAAAAAGGAATGCTTTTCAATTTTTGGTAGTTGTACCTTCTTAACATTATACCTCTCTTGAGTTTGTTTCAGTTCTTATTACTGCAGTCTACGGTGAGGGTAGGTCCATCTGAGCACTTTTTAGAAGGCCACTTGCTTAGATTGAATTCCTAACCTTAGAAACTCTGAAATGCATGTATGCAGTCTTAGCAAAAGTGGTCAGCATTGTTGTGCAACTTATCAACACTTGTTCTGCCCTAAGCTGTCATCAAAAGGAAAAGTTTATCAGCTCTTTTTAGTGCAGCTGTAGCCAGGAAGGTACAGAGCTGCTGGTAGGGATGGGAGTCAGGTCAGCGATGTCTTCAGCCATGGGTGGGCCTGTCTGCCTGTTGATTGCAGTGCTGCATTGAGTAATGTTGATTCAAATACGAACAGCTATCCTGTGGGAGATGTTCAGATACCAAATCCATCCTGAACAAATTTGATTAGGAAAGATTAAAGAAAGAATCTGTCTTAAAATAATTATCTCTTAAATATAATTGATGCTGGTGACTTAGTTTGGCAAAATACGCATTTTGGTGCTAGGGGACAGATGAGAAATTTGACCAGCTTCAGATTTGCTGCAGGGAGCAATAGAAGTGCAAATATCAAAGGCAGTGTAAGGATACTTGCAGTCATATCTGGGTAAAAATACAGTAATCGGGATCAACTGGATTAAGAATGGCATAAAAAGTTGTGACAAATAATGAGATCATTGCCTTTCAGCATCCTGAAATATTCTTAACGAGACCTACAGATAATTATTTCTTCCTTATTTTTTTAAATTATCTTAATGTGATGAGTTGCTCAGAAGGAAGAAATGGCATAAGACCAATATTCAGAAAAAAACCTATTTCATTTCACAGATGGTATGGTCTAACATGTGAGATAAACTGCAAGCTTTTTGTTTTATTTTTAGCAGTATTAGCTCACAGAGCTGCTTCCAGCCTGGTTTGAGGCTGCAGCAGTACACAGGCTCCTGAGTGAGATAAAGCAGCAAAGAGACTTTTCACCAGAGAGAAGGGGTGCAGACAGTAAAATGGCCAGACTCAGGCAGGGATCACAAAAGTGATGTAAGCACTCCTGCTTACTTTTGGTTTTACACACTTTTAGATCCCTTATCACACCAGAGGATCATCTTTCAGATAAGACACTTGACAGATAATGCACAGTGTATAGATCTATACTGTGATTTTACATATGTACATCTTTGTTAAGATGTTTTTAAGTAATCTCTTTCAGACATATTAGTGCTATGTAATTTAAAATTTCTGCATTTATTGTATTAATGGAATAGAATATTTCTTAGTGTTGTGGGCCGTTCAGTCCCACAATTCCAAATTGATACTCCTAATTTTTATATTATTCTTATTGATCGTCGGAGTATATATTAAATGAATGACAAGACTGATGTCAAATCTTTCCTCGAAGTAATGCACATAACTGCACAGGGGTCATTCAGGGAAGGGTGTGAACACCTATATTCATCACTAAAGTAAAATAATCTTCTTCTTTGTGAAACCATTTAAAAAATCTTATCATATTTCAGATTGAATTATACCTAAATCTTTTAGGGATAATTGCTTCCTAAGGGCCTATACATTTGTGCTCTTAGTACTTTTTCATAAAATAAGATCTGCAGAGTACTTTGCAGTTCTAGTGTGTCAGGGTCTATAAGTAAGATTATTCATTTGTGCTTGGCCTTCATAATTAACATTTGGTCTCTGCTGATTCTGATAAATGTATTCCCATAATACACTGAGATATCAGATTAAATTAAACATAGAAAAGTTAAAGAATTGATTTTTTTCATTAGTATTAAATATTTTTTTGTGGATCGTTTTGTTGTTGTTGGCTTTGTAGTGTGTGGTTTTGAAAGGCAGAGCTTTAAGTAATACATTTTCACTAAGAAAAATAAAGATTTTGCCAGTGTGAAAGTCCTCTACTCTGGTGAAAAAGAATAGGAAATAAGTCTTCTGGATCAAATAATTTAATGTGAAAATTCATGTAACATGTTCAGTTGAATTTGAATGAAATGTAGGGAGAGGTGACTCTTTTCACAGGACTGATTTATTTTGTAGCTTTTAATTAGGTGGCACATTCTTCTTGAATCAGCTCTTAATCTGCTTTAAACACCAAAGAGACATAGTAATTTACTTTTCAGCTAAACTCTCAACATGGAGGAGAGGCTGTTTCATGATATACTTATCAGGCGCCCTTTAATGACTTAATGAGTTTACTCCAGCCAAGTATGATGTCATTAGAATTTGTGAAGGTAATTAATCTACTTTAGAACTGTTAGTATGTTAATCTTTAGTTATGATTGACTTTTCTTTAAAAATAATTTTTTGTGTTCTGATTAATATTTTTAGTTGTCATTTTCTGTAAAATTCTAAGTGCTTCCAAGGCTTTCTTATTAATATATTGTAATTCAGAGTAATATGCAAGAAACTGGTATGATGGAGCTGTTAGATACTTACTGTGGGTTCATAAAGCAATTATAGCTATTGTCATGTGCTTTCTGCTGACAAATAAGAATTATGTCAAGGGCAAGAAATCTACAATACATAGCAGTTTGTTAGATAATGCAGTGAGGATGGCTATGAATGGAATGACTATTCTGGAAGTGCTTTCTTATGCCTTTCATAAATTGTTTTAAGCTCCATTTTGATTCACAGAATTTTCAGGATTCTTAGAGTGGAAACCATTTTTTCTTTATCTGCTTTACTTTGCCAGACACAGGAATAAATCTGGTCAGCGTGTGAGCTGATGAAGAGCTCAATCTCTGATGTCACTTTTTACAAAAGCTTGAACATGAAGTTTAAAAATATTTCCTACTGTTGAAGTGCACGGAATATCCATGCTATTTAGACATATTGTATTAGTTATGGAATAAAGTCCTGCTTTCAGAAGTTGTATATGTGGCCTATATCTGTAAAACCTAAATCATTCTTATACTGTTTTTATGTTTAGAGCTTTAGGGCTGAAGTTTTAGAGCTTCATTTTAATGTGTTTGGAGCTGATTTATGCCTATAAAATATCTGATTTGCTTCTGACAGAACAACACACTTTTGAAATATTCTGTAATCCAGAGAAACTTGCCTGAACCAGCAATGGGAAAGTGGGAGATCGAAATCTTCGTCTCTTCAAATTTCAATTCAACATGGTTTTTTTACATTTATTATAGTTATAGAATCATAGGATCATAGAATCACAAGGTTAAAAATGACCTGCAAGATCATCTAGTCCAATCGTCCTCCCATTATTATTGCAACCACAAGCTACTAAACCGTATCTTGTAGCTCCTCATCCAGATGCCTCTTGAACACTGCCAGGAACAGCGACTCACCGCATCCCTGGGCAGCCATTCCATTGCCTGACCACTCTCTGAGAGAAAAAGTTCTTCCTTATGTCTAATCTAAACCTCCTCTGTTACAACTTGTGGCCAT